TGGTTAATTTATAAAAATTGTTATCACATTTTGGCGTATATCACTAAAACTGACTGCAAATTTTTTGACAAATGTCGTATACGACAAAATTTTATTAAACTCATAAATGGTTGACACTAAACTAAAAAAAATAAGATAATTTAAGAATTTCATGAACTAGTACATAGCATTCTCCGACACTTTGGAGAAAATCTGTAGTCGTGTTTCTGAGAAATTGCATTCCAAACTTCAATCGTGAGTTACCGAAAGTAACTTGTGACAATCTTTTATCCAGGGATCTACATAAATTATAATTGTCACTATTTTCGCAGTTGGAGTATATGCCAGACGAGTAACAGGTATATACATACAAGGATACCTAAATTAGCGCGTTGAACTTGTATATTTATCTCTCTCCAACGCATTAATTCTATATACGTAGGTACCAACGCCTGACAAAGTTATGTCTAAATTTAATAATGGCTCTATGACAAAATATTCATGGAATGTATTCGTAGATTTTTATTTACTTCATTTCATACATTAGCATTGATGTTTTGTTTTTCATACATTAGTATTGATGTTTTTTACTAAATACCAGGAATAAATATTTAATAAAAAACTATTTCACTTAAGCTTAACCAACTTTTAGTTGCTCGGAGCTAATTTTGGAAAATACGAAATATTTTCATAGACAGTAAATGCAACCCTGGGTGCATCATTAACGAGCTGAAAAACCAAACAAATAAAAAAATTCCATTTTTACAGTTTATGCCGCCAAAGCAAAAACAAAATATATGTAAATTTTTGTTTTGTACTCCTGCTATCACCTTATATTAATTCCCCTTGATCTGAACCAATATTCCCAAAAATTATAAAGCAAAACAAAAACCATTTTTTCCAATTTATGCACTGTTATTTTTATTATTGCAATACAATTTCGCAGCTCTTCAAACATTTTCCACATTATGCTTTTAGGGCTAGTAGTTTCCGACCCCATTTGCTCGTTTTTTTTTCAATTCTGAATTTAGGCTAGGCTTCATGGGAACTTACTGTGGGTGCAAACAGACCACATTTTGTAAACTGAATTGTGATATTTAATTTTATTTTATAATGAAAAATGAATTTAATGTGCAATTTTTTAAGTTTACTAGATGTAAGACAACTTTTCATTTTCTTTATATATTGCATGCTTTAGTTTTAATTCTGATTAAGTTAAGTTGTAAAGATGAAAATAGGCCTCCTGGGCAACCGAGCACATTAAAAAAAATCGGTAACGCGCGTAAAAGCATACCTCACAAGTGGTGTGGAAAATGCAAGAACAAATATAAATGGAATAATTTTCGAAATTAATTAATATGAACGTTATTTAAGCTGCCTTTACACGGTCGATTTTTGTCGTTTAACCAAAATCTACCCGTGTAAATTGCAATTCAACCGTAAAATGATGAAGATGTGCCAAATTATATTGTCGACTTAAATACAAAACAACAATTTCTTTAAGTCATCTTGTGCAGCAATTTGTTGACCTTATCCTCACGGCTACTGAAATCACCAACCTCAACGTAGTGATTAGCCTTCTTCCGCCAGCCTCGGGTTGATGTGTTGAGCTTGAATAGCAACAGGAAGCTGGGGGCTTTCTTGAAGTGAAGTGAATCAACGCACTGAATTTCGTGCGCTTCGCGAAATTTGCGTTCGATCACAAAGCAGAGATTGGGACACGCTTGACCATTCCACGTTTGTACATTAATTCACAAACTGATTTAAGATTTGGATAACCCCATATAGGGGGTTCGGCATACGTAGCATATTAATAGTTGCCTTGCTCAATTTGATGAACACACCGTTTTAATGTGGCGAAGACAGAACTGTAAAACTACGCACTTTTTGTGCAACTTTGTTGATACCGCGGATGCGGATCACAAAAGCCAATTTGGATTTTCAGGCCCGTCGAATTGGCCGCATTTCTTTGCCACACAGCGCTACTCCATCTCACGGCGTCCATCACCGAGTTTTCTTGTTTGATATTTCTCAGCATGCACCAATTTACGGAGTGCAATCACAGCAGAGCGCTTTAGTTTACGTTTGATCAGGGTAGCAATTTGCTGACCTGCTCTTGCTGAACTGCAGCTTCGACTCGATGACAGGAGGCAGCTTCCTGGAAGGTTGCCTGTCCTTTGCTTGCGGTTTCTTACCGCCCGTGATGGTAGTCCTCTTAACTTGTTACTTAGCACGTTGAAAAGGCGAAAAAAAGTTCGCCAAATGTTTGGAGCACATCGTAAATGAGCCACTCGATTTATAACATTTCTATAAACAATTTTATTAAATACTTTTTATACATAGATATGCTGCAACCATGCACTTACTTTCCCAAATTCCATCCTGCTTATCGGCATAATTTTCCAAATATGCCTGCTACTTCATTACTAATTACTCAATTTTCCAACTGCGCCTTCTTTGTTGGCTCGACATATCCTAAAAAGACAAATTTACATTAAACAATAGAAATCGCAAAAATTAGCAAATAAAATGACCGCTTTGTTTTGTTTTGTTGTCAAATTTCTGAGAAATGTGAATTCACCACGATGCGATACAGAAAGAACAAGGACCAGGGATGTAATTTTAAGTAATCTATTATTCAGTGGCAAGGCGCAGAGCGTTCGGGACAGCAATATTAATTTGTATCAAATATAACATTAAACGGTGGTTCTAATACATTTTTTGATTTTATTAACCAGAGTACATTCATTATATGGTATTTCTTTCAAAATTAATGTACTATATGAACTTTTTTTTCAAATATTTCTTAAGTTTCTTTAATGAGTGCTGAAAAGCAACCATGCGTGTAAGAAATTGTGTGCTACCTAAAATTTCACCTCTGGAAACTTTATCCCCATAAAGGACTTCACCATGATTCAATAATACAAGAAGGTTAGATAATTATTGACAGCTGCGGTTTGACACTCCCTTACAAAAAGTTGCATTTACGAAGGACAGAGAAAGTGCAAGAATGCAATCCCTTTTTGAGAAAATGGTAGTAGAAAAGTACGCAAAGCAGGCAATAAGTAGTGAAATTCCTTTTGTAAATTCTAATGTATTTGTAGGAAATCTATCATTTTAAACGAAATGTTGAACGTAATATTGATATATCTACGTGATTTACGTAATTTATACGCTATTTAGCTGTATAAAAACTGCAAAATGACTCAAAATTAAAATAAGACTACTAAGAGATAGATGTAAACATCCAAGGCTTATGTTTTCATTAGTTAAATATGCTTCATATGCATGGACAAATAAACATATTGCACAAAAGCTTATACTTTTATTTCACACCAAAGCTACACTGTTTCCAAGTAAATTTGCAAAGAAGCAACACGGTGCCACTGGTAAGGGAGCGGTGCGAGAGAGACAACTGTCAGTTTGTCGAACCTTGTATTATTTAATCATGGGACATCACCACAGTTTTTTTAACTGGATATACTGAGCCTATACGAATGATGACGGAATCCCAGTAATCACCTTTTGACAATTGATCGAAAAATACTGGCAAATTGGGTCAATTGACAAGACACGTCGAAAGTACAGGGTGTACTAAGGAAATTGACACTAACCGGCAGGATATTTAACATGGTTTACATATTTTATATGCAACCTTTAAAGCTTTATTTAAAAGTAGGAGGAAAATGTATGACTGGTTTACTTTTAGTTTGTGTTAATTTTTTGACAAAAACATTAAACCAACTGTTACTGCGTATAACATAGAGCAGCTTGTTTTAACTTCTCTGACATTTCCTTCATTATCCTTCACTTCTTCTTCTCTGCTCCTTCATTGACAGCTCTCAAAGTGTATTGCTCAAGTTCTGAACACATTGAAAACGACGAGCTACGGACCACAGCTTCCAATTTGTCATCTTCATTATCTAAACGCTTTGTCGATGGCGACATGATTTCTTTGAACGCGGCAGCGACATCATGAATTTGTATGAGTTTGACATAAAAGAAGAGGAAGAACCTTATTGTCGCCAGAAAAATAGAAATAGATCTACTCTGGCCACAACCACAGCCGTCGCGTAGCCCGGTCGTCCCCAAAATAATTATCTACATAAGAGTACGTGTTAAAATAATTTGACAGCTGTGGTTTGTAGCTCGTCGTTTTCATTGTGTTCGGGCTATCATTCGCCCACTTCTACTAGAAAAAAAACAAGATCCAGCAAGAGCATTAATACACAGGAAATCCTGAAATATTTGGTTTAAAAATAACTAAATTATAAAAGTTAATCATTATAAATTCTTTAAGTACAATTCGGGTTTGTGTTTGGTAAACGAACTTAGAATTTAGAGCAATCACAACTGTGCACAATAGGGTCAAGTTGAAAGTGAAGCATAAACTCGGGGGAAAAAGAGGGAAATGTTTAGTACCACTCACACCGTTTTTCGGGTGGGGGACGGAGGGGGAGGGGCGGGGCCCCCCAACCCCCCCCCCCCCCCAATAGAAAGGAGACAGTCGCCGCTTTCTAAAAAGGGGAACCCCCCCCCTTGGACTCCTCCCACAGGCACCTAGGGAACCGTTTGAAAAAGGGGGAAAAACGGATTTTTCTTAGACAAACTGAGCAGTTTGAAGTGGAATATGACCCAACTAACAGAAACCGTGGGATTTTTTAATAAAAGAAATTATGCCAAATTAGATATGGGGGGATTTTGAATAAACAATAAAAAGTTAATCAAAAATAGAAACAAAAAAAAGTTTTTATAAAAAAAATGTTCTTTTTAACAAATGTATTTTTGCGTAGAATTCCTTTCTACGTAAGCGGCCTTCGGCCGCACTTAGGGATTATAACCCTCAGGCAGTAGAATTCTCCTTTCTGTTTTGCCAAAGAAGGGGGGCTGAACACCTTTTGCAGAGAACACCTTTCTGCGTAGGCGGCCTTCGGCCGCACTTAGGGATTATAACCCTCAGGCAGCAGAATTCTCCTTTCTGTGTTGCCAAAGAAGGGGAGCTGAACACCTTT